ATCTACTAAAATTGACCCTGGTGGTTAGGTACTCAACTCGCAATCTGCGGGTCGCGGGCTCGAATCCTCGTCCCATTAAACATGCGTGCCACTTCAGCCGTGGGGAAAGTAGCCCAAGAGTTGGTGGTGAAAGCTTTCCCCTCTAGTCTTTCACTGCTAAATTGGGGACAGCTAGCGCAGATAGTCCTCATGTAGCTTAGCGCGAAATTCAAACCAAACTAAAATTGAAAAATAATTATTTTAAACCTTAGTGTGTTAATTGAAAAGTTATACTTGTGCGCAATTACCCGATCTCCACAAAAAACAATAAATTTGCAAATTAAATATGCATAAGGACAATTATAACAATTTGTTGTTGGCGAAGTAAAAAAAAACAACATAAGATAGTTTTGAAACAAAATAAAAACACTATTTCTCTCGCAAAGTGATGTAAAGGCATACTGTATGTTTTCTATCTTCTTTTTATTTAATATCCCCGGTGGGACAGTAATAAGTTTACAGACTTACAATGCTAAAATCCTGTGTTCGAATCCCCGCAGTGGACCCAGCAGATAGTACAATGTGGCTTTGCTTTATAAGAAGCACTTTTTTAATACAGAAGTTTCCTCAATTTACGTTTATATGTGCAATTTTCGCATAAAACAATCTAGAAAGTCATTAAGTTTGTTATTTTAGTGTCATATAAATGAATGCCATATGTTTTCCACCTGCTTTAGTGATATATAGATTTTATAATTTCTTAGTTTTTAGTTTCAACGATGCAAAATGCGACAAGTGTTCCAGAAAATCGTTAAAATTACCTTGTTATATTTGCTTTGTTTCTATGTCATACAGAAGGAGATGTATCTTCTGCCCGAGAGGATATTGCAGTAATATATGTAGAATATCAGTTTAAAAAACTGGTGCTGTAATATTCTTTAATGTTGGCCGATTATGATGTTGACTGAATGTATCAGCTAATCCATGCTGTGTGGGAATAAAGGTCACGAGGTTTATCTGTTGAATGTAGGTACGCTTTCTTTAGCCACTTTTTCATGTACGTTATAAAACTTATTTTAAGATTATCTAAATTCTATCCTGAGAAAGAAAAAGCTGTAGGGCTAATCACAGTCTAGAGTTAACGACTGTCTTTTATCATGTGTGCAAGTACATACACTGTGATTTCTTATTGTTTGCGCAATAATAAAGATTGTTTTCATTTTTTCAACTTTGTCTAGTCTCATTATTTTACACACAATAGAAAGGCTCAATTAAGTTATCTGACCACAATCAGTCTCATTATTTCTTGAACAAATCTGTAGTTATTTGCAACTCAATGTATCTCTGTTGGGAAACCAGTAGTTTTTAAATGAAAACATCACACTAGCTACCTTCGTTCTTTGTCATTCCATTGAAGATAACATCTAATCTGCCCATGGCAGTGCACCTATAATATTGCACTTTGTGTATAAAGGTCGAGATCAGTGTCTTCCATTATAGTTCAGATGATATCATGATGTTAATTAAAAACTTCCTTATATTTGAATGAGATTGAACAGTCACGTGGAAAGCGCTTGTTACTCTAGGTAAATCTGATGTTAGCAATTTAACTAACTAACGTGTAATTTAGGACGTCTGGAAAATCATTTTCGTTGGGTCAACCAGCTAGGAAATAAGTCTTGAGGGAGTAGAGACAGCCTGGTCAATTCACAACTCAGTAAAGGCGACTATGCAATATCTAAAATAAATATAAGCATTAAATTTGTGTTTAAATAAAGATTGTTTTCATTGTGTACAGTAGCGTGCAGAGGGGGGGGGGGCGAAAGATGCCGGGCATCCATATCGGGAGAGCATCCAACGCAAAGAGTCGAATCGAATAGTAGAACCCTTTCCGCCCTTCCCTAAGGTCTTAGGCACAAGGCCCCGGGCATCATAGAACCTCTGCACGCCACTGATTGTGTATCATGTATTATGTCCAGTCCATTTATTTTTTGGCACAGACTCCGTTAGATTTAGCAGGATTCAATATATTTTCACAATTTATCTTGCCAAATCTTCTGTTATATGACAGACCTACCTAATTAACTCATTTCCAAAATCAGTTAACCTAAAAATACCACAAAGTGTGTAGTAATGAGAAACTTTGATGCTAAGACCATAGGATATTATTTCAGTTTTCTTTGAACGTGTATATTGCGCTTACTTGAAATTTTCTGCAATATAGTTTAAAAAATATTTCTTATGTAAAGACTAACGTTTTCTGCAAATAAGAGCATTCAATATTGAGATGGTTGTGTGAGAGAGCTGTTGGGTCTAGGATAAAACGTCTCCTGGTGTTGGACTTTCACTGATGCTTTGAAAATCCATGCAATCATACATTCGGGAAGATCTGCCAATGTATTTTACATCTGTGGTATTAATATGAGATTTAAAAAAATATTTATGTAGGTATGTGCTGTTTCCATATAACACATTTGCAAAGGAGGTCTTTGAGTTCCTTTTGCTCTAGCTACCTATTGTTCCATGTTAATCACCTAGAGTAGCACCGTTTATCCGTGGTAAAGATATCTGTAAAGGCATCTGTAGTATGTGGAGTTAGAAAGTTGTCTTTTTTTTTGTTGACAGATAGGTGAACACTTTAAGTTATGACCTCTCTTATAATTCATTGTGAATGATCAGTCAATCACTCTGGGTAAGTCTGTAATTATGGAGTTAAATAAGTAACGTGAGGTTTATTCAGTGTGTGACACGATGTCAACTGTATAAGTTTGTATGTGACCTTATCTGAGTTAGCCAATTTACTACATCATTGAACGACTTTAAACCTAACTCTCCAGAAAAGGCGATTGTTCATTGTGACAAGTAAAGTAAATTTTCACAGTGTTTCTTTGAATAGATATGGTTTATTGTGATTGTACATTTGTGTTAAGTCTTTATTTCTTGTGAACTCAGAAAATGCAAAAATATTTTGCAGTAAATACCTTGATGGATCTCCTGCCATTCCGAAGACCTATCTTGTCACTCTTAAAGGAAATCAGTGTTATATTTTACACCTCTGGAAAACTAACGTAACAATGACAGTTTGTGGTCAACCTCTCCGAGATAGCAGCATCTTAGTTTGCTTTCATTAAAAGTGAGGCATACTTTGAATGCAGTAGGGATGGCAAACAAGCATTCCAATCATTAAAGCTTATTTTAGTGGATGCTCCAGTACGAGTGTATCCATAACAGATCAATGAGTTTCTACTGGACACTGATAGTGAAATTGGGGAAATGTTATCACAGTTGCAAAACAGAGTAGCACATGCAACTGCATATGTTAGTTTTACACTTCTGGCTATTGGATGCAGACAACAATGGATGAGGACAGAACCTCTTGCAGTTGTAGTATTTGTAAATCGCTATTAACACTACTTGTATGGTAGGAATTTCACTGTTCAGGTGAACCATGCTCTGAAGAAATGGTTAATGAACTTCAAAAATCTGGAAAATATATTAACACGTTGGATAGAAACGTTCCAAAGAAGAATGAATTGTCTTGCCTCATGTTGAAGTG